AGCACTTATTTGAGAATTTACAGGAGCTGAGTACAGTAACCGTTATGTTTATTAACCAAAATAATACTTACATACTGGACTTCATCCAACTCTGAGGTGGATTATGCATTTGTTGCTAATAATGAAAGCCAGCAATTACTATTCAAAACTAATGATTTTGTTTTTCTTTTCTTTTTTTTTTTTCTTTTTTTTAAGAACAAACAAAGCTGACAAACTTGTCCGGACATGTCCATTAAACTGAATTTTTTAATTTAAAAAAAAATACCAATTATGGTTTATATTTTTTTATTCAGGCTTGTAATAAACAGAAAACTTCTGTAAACTCTTTTCGTAATAAAAATGTGCTATATAGCTACTGTATAAACAGACTCAAATTTTAACAGTGCATGCAATACTGTAAATGGCTTGTCTCTTTATACATGTTGCTGTCCCGTCCTTAGCATAAGAATGTACTGTATACAGTACCATGACGAGCAGGAACAGCCTCTAGCAAGCCACCTGGACAGTACTATGAACACCTCCCCAGAGACATGTTGAAGCTTACCAGGTCTCATGAAATCTTGCATTGCGGGGCCATCCATTAATGATGCCTGTCTCGAGTAATGTTATCACTATTTGTTTGGTTTTTTGATACAGCTGTTTCAACAATTTTTCTCCAATCATTGAAGTTGAATTGGTGTCAGGCATCAGTGATTCACTTTCCATGCATTTGGTTAACATTTTAATACAACTGTGCCAATTTGCATGAATTTGCCTACTGCAGACCTACCCACAATTTAATCAAATGTTTTGGATCCAACTTGCGTTGATGTACTATAACTTTCCATAAAAAAATCATTGGGCATTATATTCCAGACCATTGCCATTTTAGTTAGCTTATATAGTTACTGTATTAATGTCATCGTGGTCATACTTTTAACACATTATTATAAATAATGAATATAGTTGTTTTCCATACACTAGTGAAACGTTAGGATTTGTGCAAGAAAATATTTTTTGTGTGGTATAGTGATGCGTCATAAGCGTCAAATGGTAGGCTAGGCATACAGTAGAACATTATGAACAATTGTATAAAACATTGCATGACTTAAAAATATATTGGTAGCTTTACTTACAGTAAATGAATGGATAGTGGTCAATCAGACTTTGCACTACCAGTAGTAAAAGTAACTACTGTACTGTATTAAATTTACAATCACTCTATTGGTCTTCACACTCCATCAACTATTTGATTGGTGTCAGGCTGAGTACAGTACACCTGTATCAGATAGTATTTGATATGTTATCTCATGTCATTGTAGTTCAGTCATATAAAATGTTCATCATAATTATTGGAATAGCATACTCTACATTAAATGTTGACATACAAATTAGGTTCATAGCAAATTGTGGAATTAGTGGGATTTTTGGGACTTGATAGCATGTACTGTATTATACCACCCAATGTCTCAAATCGTCCAAAAATCTCAAACTCAGGGTCGTCTACTGAAATATGGGAATCGCCTTATTATACGGTAGTATGCGGTACTGTAGTCTATATGGTAGGATTACCGTGAGTTTAGTCAGATAAAGATGTCTTTTAAATAGTGCAATAATAGGAATCTCTCTTGCCACATTCAGTCACATTCATTAAAATGTTAATTAACTTTTTGATATTTGTTTGTTGGATGTAAAAGATTTATAGAAGTTTATCAGTAGTTGTATTTAAATTGATATCTGTGAATAAATAGATTCCTACCAATACATATAGTACGGTGTATCCTAAAATATATGCAGTTCATCGCAATTTCTAATGGAATTGATTTTCAGTTGAACTCGCGTTGCATTCAGTGTGAAATAGTAAAGGTCATATTACTGTAGGCAGGGTCAAGGGTCGATTCAATTCAATTGTACTTGCACATCAATATCTAATTCATCAACTTCAATATGAATTCAAAATATATCATCATGTTTAATTTTGTACAGAAATTCTGAGTCCCATCGAATTACGGTAATGGTTAGGAATACAGTATGTATACAGTAAACTACTGTAGTGTAGTATAGAAAAAGCAAGTGTACTGTAGGTGGTAGGAAAATTATTTTTTGTGATTACATTTATAAATCCAAATACTAAAACAGGCTTAAATATTGTGGGTGTAAGCAATCTATTGCCAGCCAAGATCTTGTTGTTAAGGATTAAGGATCCCAGGAAATGAAGCAAAGGTTACTTGATATTAATGTATTGTTGAATTTGAAGAGCTGTTTAAGCAACTGCTTGACTTTTAGCATTGCAGTGTTCACTTGACCCAATGGCCTTGTCTTTGATTACATATTCTTTGTCCAATAAATGTTAGCAACTGTGAGCAAATTATTGAACTAAACACAATCATGTAAATAGGCATGCGAGTTCTGCTGTATTTGATGATGTTCTTAAGGGGTGTGTATACGTAGGTACAGTAGATTTATACTGTCATCTGATTTGGGTTTAATTCCGTCTGGGTGTCCATTAAAGATAAAGGTCAATATAGTATTTGTTACTTCTATGATATACCACCAGTTTGGACATTGGAAGTTACCAGATATTGGACAATAAAATTAACTGCTAGTTTAATGTTCCCACCCTTATCTAATTTTGAAGCCTCATCAAAAATTCTGGACGACATAAAACTAATTACATTGAGGTCTAATTTCATTTGGCCTAATTTAAAATCTATTGTAACATTTTATTTTCATGGTTGTTATCAAATTTTATGTAAATTGTAATATAAATCATTAACATTTTAATGTTTTTGTAACCAAATCATATATTTTTTTAGTTGATAGGTTTCATTGTTGTTGATTTTCTGCATTACAGAGGATATTGAAATTTCCACTAGTATTTGTAGAAGTCCTTCTTTGCACTTGTAGTTTTAATTGTGGTCATGTACCAGACCTTGTTTTGGCACAACACAAGCTGTTACCTAAACCATTATGTGGAAAGGTGTCAGTGAGCTATGCATGTTACAGTGTGAATAGTCAAAGACAGCTCACAATCACATCCAACCTTGAAGGCCGAGTCACTGCCAACAGCATGTGCTTATCATGTGCTTTTCTAGGCAGGCTAAAAGCCTATACAGTAGATGTGATAAGTGTATGGTCACAGAACTTTGCATCGCGACTGTGTAGAGTTGCTAGAGAGCCCTATTACATACAGTATGTTTGAACCATTTTTCCTCTGCAGTAAATTCTGGAGGTGGAGTAATACAAATACCACGCTAATGCCAAAGTGACTCATTAGGTCATTGACGTTCTGTGTGTAATACCGCGGATATTACTGTATATTACTTCTAAAGTTTGTGTTTATACAGGAATTATAAATTAAGTGAACAATAGATGAATAGCTTAGGTTCATATATAATATAACATTGTATATTATTTGAATAAACAATGACAAAACCAACCTTTTGATACCCAACTCCCTGTGATATCTGATTGATACCAACCTCAGAGGGGTATGTACTACAGTATACTGATATTTTTGTACAGTCCCTCTCTGGTAACATGTAATTATGTGGACATGACCTTGGTTCCCAAAGAGTGGGCTTCCATATCTTAACCAAACTTGATATTTTTGTTGTTGTGGTTGATGGAAGGTGAGACCATAGCTGTTTATTGTTTTCTTGTCACGTCATTCACAAGCTTTTATTTTGATTTTGAACTGGTAACAATGTTATTGAATTCATAGCTCAGGGTCAAAAGTTGCATACTTGTTGAAGGTATAAAAGGCTGTTCTTATTTTTTTTATTTTTTTTTATTTCAAACATTTTATTAAAAAAATTATAAAGTAAGAAGGAAAAGTGTTGGTGTATTTTCATCCTACTGTATTGTATCTTCACAATCAGATTACATGATCTTAAGTTTTTTATGTAGGTATTGGTTGTAGCATATTAAAAACCAAGTAAAACAAAACGTATTTACTTGGTTTTATTTAAGAATACAACAACCAATACAGATTGGATGCATTCATTATTCAATGCATTCATTATTCCTCAAGATTTGTACTTTGTACAGTACAGTATGTCCAATGGAATTAACCAAGAGTACTATACAGTAGCTTTGTTTTCTGGCCTTGTTTTATTGAATTTATGAATAGTGGAGGATGGTACTGTATCATAGCAAAAAGGTCATCAACTTTCAATTGTGAAGGTTGGTTCCAGTACAGTGCTGTACTAGTATTATAATACAGTATAGTAAAGTAATACAGTCGATGTTGGTCAGTTGGATAATTTATGTTTCAAAATCAGAAATGTTTTTGAAATAGAAATTTAATCTTACAGTATTTCACATATTTGTTTATTCGTGTAGTATTATTATTCCAAATTGAAAATTCACACAGAACTAGAGGATAATGTAATATGACATTTTGCTGAGATTATCATGCATCTGTCCTAGACACACAAAGTACATTTTGAAATGTCAATAAAATACATAAGAAATACTATTTTTCTGTTGATTACAAATAGGAGTTCTTTATCAAATTAGGAAGCTAATTTAATGTAAGAAATCAAAATGTATTAAAATTTATAATGTGTTGATGTTAATTTTTAGGTGACTTTGATAAGTGTTGTTGAAATACTAGATGATATATACTGTAAATATACAATATTTTCATTAGCTTTAATAATAATAATAATAAATTGGAGAATTTGTAGCGCCTGTTAAAAAAATAATTTTTTTGTCACTGGCGCTTAAAGATAAGAGTTTTTAAATCCTTTAAATTAAAGGAGCATTTGAAAACCAATATACATATGAGTTTAGCTTTATTTATTGTTGCACAGTACAAAAAATACAATTAATTACTGAAGATACCACATATTTTATAAATATATTTCCAGGAAGTTCATTATCAAAATTTTAAAAAGAATATTTTTTCCATCTATTGTACATATCATAGTATACAGTTATCACTAAATTCTATGACTAGATTTTTATTTTTATTATACAGTATATTCAATTGTTTTCTCTTTTTATGTTCTTTACAGATAAGGATGGTAGTAAGGTAACCCACGTAGTGGCCACAGCAGGCCCTCATCCAGACCGTGTAGTAGATATTGCATACACAGACACAAAGGTCATAGGTAATGGGTCATTTGGTGTCGTCTACCAAGCCAAATTAGTAGATGGAGGGGATCTGGTAGCTATAAAGAAAGTACTTCAAGATAAGCGTTTTAAGGTAAGTGGTCCAATAAAAGTAATTATATCTATACCTCATTCTCAGTAAATTAAAAAATCAAGTATATTTTCTGAGAAGACCTGTTCCAGCACCAGAATACTCTGTACCAGCACTAATTTAATGGCTGTATGTTGCAGCATCCCCTGCCTTAATATGCTCAACCAATAGCTATTATTGTTTGTGAACCCATCAACAAAGGGCGGATGAACTCCTCGGAGCCAACGGCCAACCATGCCTTAGTTTAAGGAGTAGGTTTTTTAGTTTCATAAAATAACTTCAACTTTCTTTTTTCTCAAAAGTCCAAATCAAAGAGCTCAATCACCTAGCGCATAGAGGCTTTTTCGCATGATGCGCTCTACAAGTCCAACTATTATTATTATTATTATTATCTATAGATGATAATAATTATGGAAAATGACAATTTTAAATTCATATTTCAAATTAATTTAAAGTTGTTATTTTTACTATCAATTATCGTACTGAGACTTGTATAAGTCTTATCAAAATATACAATTGTATTTTGTGCACTGACATTTTTTTTTTCTATCTCCACAGAATCGAGAATTGCAAATAATGAGGCGATTAGAACATTGTAATATTGTTAAACTACGGTACTTCTTCTATTCCACTGGTGAAAAGGTAGGTTCTATATGACTTAAGAATAAGGCAGTAAGTGAAGTTCTTGCCACTGGTAGCATGCATTTCCAAAGATAAGCAGATGATATCCGTTAAGATTAATTGTATTTAAAATAAACAAAAACAAAAACAAAATTAAAAGTAATTCGAAAAATAATAGAAGAGAACAATGTGTTGTCAATGATTTATTTCACTTTCATATTCATTATCAAATTGGCATTAAAGGAAATAAGAGGGGTTTGCAGATGTTTTTCTTTATAGCATATGTTCTTTAAAAGGCCAGCCATTAAATAATAATTAGACACGTAATAAGTTCGTAAGAGCAATGCAAAAAATGTAGAAATGTTATTGATCTGCCTAGATTTAGTGAGGAATTCATTCCTTAATCTCCATTCTGTGTATACACATCTTGTAATTAACAGAAACACAACACCTTTAAATTTAACTGATGGCAGCTCGGTAGATTAATTTTCCATCTCACTGGAGCGAAGACGCACGACAATAACTCCCCTGTTGGCAAATCTCGCTATAACTCAATACTGGTCAATTGCTCAACCTGTTGTATGACTTTGTCACCATGGTAGCTAATAATCTTGCATCAGGTCTGTGCAGGTAGTAGCACACCTGAGTGTTAGTGCAGACTTCATCTCAAGGATCACATTATTAATATCATTATCTAATGAATTATGAAACATACCTTGAGAAAACATTTGATGTATGGTTGATTTCTTTCTATTTTAAGATGTATGTACACTAACTACTAGGCTCAGGCTGAGTTTGGATAGCACTTGCGATTTCATGAGTGCAGGCCTGGGATTGCTACCTACAGTACACCATCACTCACTATCTCTTAAATTACCCTATTACTGGCTATTAATACTTCGTAAAGGCTCTTCATAGATATAATGTCTACACTATGCAAAAAAAAAACCTGATATTATCTGTAATAAATGTTTTCGCAAATTTCAAGTTGTACCGTATTTGACAGTACAGTATACTATTCTGGAAATAATGCCATTGTTTGTATTAGATAGATAGATATTTATTGGATAGAACTTTATCTATGCAATACCTAACGGTGCATCCAAAACAAACAACTTTTTACAAAATTTTAAAATAAAAATAAATAAAATTACATAATAATACCATTACAACAAGGTCAGCATGAAATAGGCCTATAGTGTGCAACTTAGATTGCACAAATGTAACAGAATACAAAACTACACATAACAAAACCCAAAATTAACAACATTGTTGTTAATTAATGTTGATATATTTCTGCTAGGCTGATACCCCATTTGATCAGCACCTTGCCTCCATCCATATAGATTACCCTTTGATTGTCTAAACCGTAAAGTGTATGAAGTTTTCGATCTTAAAAATGCTAAGCAGTGTTACGATTACTACTGCATGAGACCCTGGAGTAATAATGTAATGTATCCTCTGTCAGAGATTAACCTTTGTGTGATGTATATCTTAGCACCTTGCTTTTCATACTAATGCCAGATGCCATTTATTTTTTGCAGAAGGATGAAGTTTATCTCAACTTAGTATTGGAGTATATACCAGAGACAGTGTACCGTGTTGCTAGACATTATAGCAAGAGTAAACAAACCATACCATTTTTATATGTAAAGGTACGATTGGGTTTGATGTGTTTTGTTTGACATGTAATATTTTTGTATGTTTATTCTTTTCCACTCCATTGAAAAATGTAAACTATAATGAAATACTATTCAAATAAGTGATCTAATATTTAATATTAATAAGCACCTTGCCCGAATAAGAGTACTTACAGTAATGAAATGTTTTACTAAGGACAATTGTCAAAAGTGATTTAAAAAATGAAGAAATGTTGCAGCATTTAATTGAAAGTACATATTGGAGAAGCTATTAAGCAACTGATTTCTCACAAAACACTAGTGTTACAAAAAGTCGGATTGACCTTCTGTATTTTTGTATTAAGCATCAATTTTGTGAAATTTCACTGTTCAGCATACAACATCGGTTTTGTTTATAATAATAATATTTGTATTACTTATTGTGAATATTTAATTTTTGCCTGAATGAACTATAAAACAATATAATTCATTAGTTGTTTGTTAATTCAAACATTTACAAATCATTAATTTATCATTAAAACAATAAATAAAAACTCAACAATTTACATTCCTTAAGATTATTCTGTAGCATAGTGAAGCAGAGTACTGTATGTTTACTCTGTGTGCAGATATGTTAGATTACAACTATGCTTTGAAATCACTAATCCATTGATTATCCTGTGATATTGCACTAAGCACCATATCTCGTTATTTCTCTCACTTTAACCAGGAATGCACAAAGCATACACAAAGAAAGCTTTAAAAAATGAACAAGAGAAGTCTGAATTGAAAATCTTACGCATGGACAACAAGCATTAACATCATTTCAATTTACTAAAAATTTGTAGCACTGGCTGATTTACTTTATTTCTAACAGATGTACATCAATGTAACTGAAAAAAATGGTAAATAAAAATAAATATGAAAGGCTACATATGTCTTCTACTGTGTAAAGATATAATTATGGAAAGAACATAAGAAAACTTGTACTTGATATTTCATTATATTACATGTTTATTTTTTTTTCTTTCAGTTGTATATGTACCAGTTATTCAGAAGTTTAGCTTATATCCACTCATTGGGTATCTGTCATAGGGACATTAAACCTCAGAACTTGCTACTAGATCCAGATTCAGGAATTCTTAAACTCTGTGATTTTGGAAGGTATGCCACACTGTATGCACAATGGATATTGATTAAACAATAAATCAGTTTCACAATGCATAATGTAAATATTTATTTTGTAGGCCTAATGTCTCGGTCCATCTCATGTTCGTTTTTGTACAAAATTTGCAATATAATCAATGCATCTGTATGTAATATGTCAACTTGTTAATCTTTAAAAGACATCATAAATTTTTTTTTATTTTGCATACGCCACTTTTTTGAGGTCATCAATTTCATGAACGATGAGCGGCAAATAGAGGATTGTTTTAAATGACATTCTGTTTAGGCTGCCATTGAAAATTAGAGTTGAATCGTTGAGCGTTCTTAGGCCGGGCACTCATTGCGTTGTACGACCCTCGCACGACAAATCTAACTCCCCTCCCTGTGAGCGATAGACGATGCGACGCCATCGCTGGTGGCAGTCGGAACGGATCGTCATTAAAAAGAATCGGTTGCGCACGTTGTTCTTCATAAAATAGAAGTCAGTCGCAGTGCATGCCTGGCTTTAGAGAGCAGATATGGATTGATTGCGACGATCGTACAAGGCATTGTGAGTCCCACTTAAGGTTGAAAGTGTCAACGGTTTACTGTTGTTTTCTTGTTTTTCAGTGCAAAGCAACTACAGCCTGGGGAGCCTAATGTGTCTTACATATGCTCACGCTACTACCGTGCCCCAGAACTCATATTCGGTGCTACAGATTACACTTGCAATATAGGTATAAACAATTATTAATATACAAGTCTTTTAGCTGATATTTTTATGTTAAAGTGTGAAGCTCTCTCCACACTATTAAATTTCCTTTGACAAAAAAACTATTGTGTGCCCATATATAGTCATTATGAGCCTATGTGTGTATATATATATATATATATATATATATATATATATATATATACATTATATATATACATTATATATATATACATTATATATATATATACAGTATATATATATTATATATAGATATAGATATATGGTCATGATGTGATGTCATTATGACCATATTTGGGCATGTCACATGCTTTTGTTAATAACATTTGATAGTCTGGATAGGGCTTTAGTTTATGCCTTTTTTTTCAGATTTCTGGAATCTGAAAAACATCCTTAGTTTTTATATTAATTATATTCTTACGTTGTTTTGTTTCAAGGGTTGCTTTTTGGCAGTATAGATAATTTGAACTTTACAATGTATAAAAATCATTAAACTGGTTGATAATATAAGCATACATATTGGTGCTGTATGTATGTTAAATTAATTTTTTTTTTGTTGATAAAAAATTAGTTTGTATATTTAACCCTTTCCAGTCGTATAGCGTCACGACGATCCCCTCTTTGACCATACTTTATAGCGAGGGGCGTCATAAGTCTGCCCTGTATAGATTTTATGATAATTTTTTATAGCTAGGCTACCCTCTATAGGATTGTTTGAGAGTGATGTAGGCGTATTTATGTAGAGGGCCTCCTGTATTCAGACCGAATAAAATGCCTGCGCCCAGTAAATACCTGACATTTAGTGTAGGTGATGTAATTTGTCAGCTTTGGTACAGCCTCAGGCCATGGTAATGGGGCAGACTTGAAAGGGTTAATATTGTGTCATTTGTATTGATGTTTATATTTCATGAACTTTTTATATTTTGCAATAGATGTGTGGTCAGCCGGATGTGTTTTAGCGGAATTGTTGCTAGGCCAACCAATATTCCCAGGGGAAAGTGGTGTGGATCAGCTGGTGGAGATAATCAAAGTGTTAGGTACTCCATCTAGGGAACAGATAAAAGAAATGAACCCTAACTATACAGAATTCAAGTTCCCACAAATTAAACCTCATCCATGGAATAAGGTAAGAATGGCTCGAAGGTCATTTCCCCTTGATCATTGTAGGTCAAATTAAAGAGATTTTATTACAGATACTAAAGTAGCTAAGCCTCAACTACCTCCATTCTTGTAAAATGACACTTTCCCAAGTAAATAAATGTATATTGAATCTTGAATTTGTTTTAATACTGCAACATGACTTTTCTGCAGGTATTTCGAGCTAGGACACCTCCAGATGCGATAAGCCTGTGTGCCAAGCTTTTAGAGTACACACCATCATCCCGAGTCACGCCATTAGATGCATGCGCACATCAGTTCTTTAACGAACTGCGTGAACCCACCACAAGGTTGCCAAACAATAGAGACTTACCCATGCTGTTTAATTTCACTGCCCAAGGTAAGGTTTGAACATTGATGCTTTTCTGTGGCATTGATGAAAAGTAGCATAAAAATCATTTGTCGCTCGGTAGGACTTCTGGCTTCAAACCAAATGTGGGTTAGTTGTCATGTCATAAATTCCAATCCTGTGACAAACAGTTCTGGATGTTTACATTTTAAGAGACGTGGAAAGATGGATGCTAAATTTTGAGAATACCTTTTATTTATAATTACTACAAATGTGACGTTGATATCATATTTTAAAAAATAGGCTCCTGATAGAAGCATGAGTATAATGCAGAAACAATTGACATGTCGACAAGGACGCGAAACCCCGCCCAAAAAGTCATGAAAACCTTAGACAATGGCGGCTAGACTTACTGAGTTGGCGAACATTTTCTTTGCTATCAACCTTCTTTAAGAAAGAGAATTCAGGATAGGCGGTATGCAAATGAATCATATATTCATAGTGTTAATCTATTTCATGGAACATGGTGGGGAAATTGTTGTAAAAGCCTTTGTATTTCGCTCCAAAAGGAAGAGGGAAAAGCCGCATTCAGTCAACCTTGTTTTCGGCAAAGGCCAAGTTACTGATGCGCACTGCTTGTGTAAATCTGGGTAGCTATAACCGAGCATAGACACCTAGGCCTAGGCTCACGTATGTTTCGCGTTTAAACCAGCTGTCTAAGGAAATTAAAATGTCCGAGAAAACGTTTTTGATCACGTGACTAAATGACGCTCGCTGATTAGTCGGTTTATCTGTCAATCAAATCTCTTGGAGATGTTAATTGTCAAAATGTAGGACCAATTACTAAATCCTTGATTAAAACTACATTCACACTGTACTTTGCATGCCTGTCAAATCAACTGAAATACAATATGATACGATACGATAGAACTTTATTGTCACAACGGTATAAATACAACTATGAGATATGGATCCATAAATACACTCATTTTAGTTAATATAGAAAAATAATTGAAATACATAAAAGTTGCACAACAGAAATTGCTTAGAATTACAATGCTTTGCAAGAATTACTGAGTGTGATGGAAAGGCAAGATAAACTGTACAATATGGTTTATTTGTTAAACCGCATATTAAAAAGTCTGACTGCTGATGGAATGAATGAATTGTTAAACCAGTTAGTCTTAACTAACCGGTGTAATGGCATCATGGATTGGGTGGGTAGTATCAGACATTATGCATTGTAATTTCTTAGATAACATATCATTACATAAAATTGCTTAACATCAGTACCTATTATCTTACTAGCTTGTTTGATAATCTTATTAAGTCTCTTCTTAATGTTTATGTTCAGTTCATTAAACAAAATGATATTACAAATAGTTAGAGCTGATTGTACAACAGATACATAAAACATAGTTAATACATTGGGTTTAACATTAAATTTCTTCATTCTACATAGGAAATACATTCTTTTGTTACATTTTGAGTTTAGCTTATCAGTGTTACAGTTCCAGTTCAATGTAGTTGCCAAGAAAATGAATTGAACCTTAACACATTCCATCGTACAGAAAAATTCCAATACCACAGCATAGAGTGTATCTGTACAAGTGCAGTATACTCAAAAAGTATAACGAATGTTTTTATATCTCAAAATATATTTATTATAATACTAACAATGAACAATTTGAATTATGTGATATTAAATGTTTATGTTCCACTATTAAATTGTCTTTCCTTATTGTTTCAGAATTAAAGATTAAACCGCAACTGAACTCGATCCTTATACCCTCACACTACAAGTCTGGGAAGGGAGATATAGGTTCATCCGATAGGCCATCGGTCGGTGCAGGAGAGTCAACTAGTTCGGCTCAGGGAGCATCTGGCAGCACTTAACCCACGTATACTGCTGACGACCATGGACGCTGCCTCAGGGAATGTAAAGAAGGAACTGGATAACACAGCAGCTTTTACTTGGGTCTGCTCAAATAAAAATAGATACGATGGCATACGATATGTTTGTTGTACAAATACTGTAGTATTCAGTCGAAAAATTAATACTTATTTCTACCCAATTGTTAATTAATGAATGAATTAAATGACTACCCTGATGCCACTTGGATGAACCATTTGGACTGAGAATTGCAAAAACAGATAAATTGTGAACTTTGTTTATTTGAATATATAACAACAATTTTTGATCTTGCAAACTTGTATATATGTTTTTAGTTTCATATACTGTGTTCATTTATCTGGTTATTTCTTTAAACCCCTTTTTGTTCTCCAACCCTAGATTTATGTACAGATTGAGATGTGCTTATTGTTATTTTATTTCTTGTAATTGTTTCTAATAGTGTACAAAATTCAAAAATCTGGGGTGTAGCACAAAAAGGCAAATTAACTTGAACTGGGGCCCTTGAAGTAAGCAGTCATGAGACCTGTATCATAGCAACAGTACTGTTGCATATTCATTTATTTAAAATGAAAGTGGTGACCTTTGCACTTTCAGGTCCTGAGCCTGAACTATAAAATACAAGGTGGCATTACATAGTTATAAGGGTTGTTAGGATTATTTTTATTGATCTTTCTAATATCTAATCAATTTAACCAAAAGCATATCTGTTATCAATGACATCACTAATACGTTTCCATTTTGAGCATGAATATACCATATTTATAAATATGTAAATCAGTTCATTATAATTATATGTACTATTGTCAGTGAATTTACATACTCGGCAAGATCGCTTATGCATGTTTGGTTTTAGTATTATGTTTGGTTGCCAATGTTCAGTCGTGAATGCCATTGAATTTCAGCAACTCCCTCATTGAATTTCACCGTTGAAGATATATACAGTTTTATCATAATTTATTGCTTTATAAATGAAGATAAATAAATTAAATATTCTTAATCCTTTGATTAACTTAAGGAATTTTAAGAATTCATTGTCAATTATTAATTATTCAAGAGGGAAAAGGCATTACCCCTGAACTTGTTGTTTGATACAGTATATAATGAATTATATTAGTCATGTGATACATGTAAACCAATCAGAGATGTTGAAGTCAGTGGCTTATGCTAAAAGATTCTTAATTACTAATGGTATTATAATTATTGTTGTTTATTGTTATTGTTATAATTATTATCATTATTATTGTCTATTATTATATTTTTATTATTAAGGGAATGCAAGATATGCCTGTGAGATGGTGAATGATGATTTGGTCTTCTAAACAGTTTTTATCTTCGTCTGTGTATTGTATTGTTCAGGGATTTGAATTCTTTTATTTTAATTATTGTTGATTTGTTAATCTATACAAATTATCCAGTCATCATTATTATTATTATTAATTTATCGTTATTATAATTATTATTATTATTATTATTATTATTATTATTATTATTGTTGTTGTTGTTATTGTTACAGCTACAGTTGCTATTATTGTTGGTAGCCTTGTACCAGATTCATGCATAGATGTACAAAAATCTTGCAGATTGTAACATAATGTTTACAGAGATACCAATGTGTTTGGTATAAATATTTTTAATTGAATCGAATGCGATTATGCATCAGCATAAAACTCATGTCATCTTGAGAACTTTAGAACTTTAGAAGCATCTACAAGGCCTGTAAAGTTCCCAAGATGTCTCAAGATATTGTCTGCACATGCTCAAGTATTTAAATTATCAAAGAGTTTTGGCCATTGGAGACATAATTTTTTTTTTTTTTTTTTTTTTTTAGATTCTATTCCAAAGTAGTGAATCGACATTGAGCCCACTGTTGAGGCGTATCATATGGTATCTGTAATTTGTATTGTAACCCGGGACATGCAGATAGCTCTTCCATAGAGCCTGCAGTAGGCTAGGCTAGCCTACTGCAGGCTGCTACAGAGTCTAGCATGGTCTGAGAATCTGATATGAGGCTTGTTTTTCACTAGGTAATATTTACTATGCCTGAGTACATAGTAATAGTTAATATAGAGTAGTACTAGACAAATACAATTAGGGGATATTGATAATCTAGACAGAGCCTTTGATTAAAAGGTTGTGGGATTACGATGATTCTTGTTAAAAATATCTTGGGAGTTATTCCTGCTGCGATCTTGGGAGTTATTCCCGCTACGATCTTGGGAGTTATTCCCGCTACATTTGTTACCTCTGATTTATGTGTGAATCTGGTACTTCTGCTATCATCCTTTATTTCTGTAAATTTTAATCTGTATTTTGTTGGTTATCACAAGGGTTTTTTGTGGTGCCATTTTTCATAGGATTAAGAAATCTAATAAGGAGGATTAGCTAATATAGAATAAATCTTAGAATATATGTTGGGTCCTGTAATTCTAAGGACCATGTTTTATGAGTTGGAATAATTTCTAATTAGATTGTTCTTTTAGCTAATGTATAAGTTTTATTTTTCTTCAGATTAGGGATTATCCTGTTGATTTAAAAATACAGTAATTGCTTTTATTCTCTAACCTGGGATTGTCTGTAGATATTGAAATGTCAAAATGTTAAGAAATAATATGACTCCATATAAAGTGATTTTTATCCTTAGTTTCAGATATTAATCTGCTAAATTTATATCTGAATATTAAGGATTGTCATCTGATTTAAAGAGATTTATTTCTTGATTTATCGTTAATGACTTTAAAAACCACATCATGAGTAAATTATTTTTGGAATGATTTTATGGCAAAGACCAAGCAAATGCATCTAAGGTTGATCTTGGTGCAGGGCAAATATCGGTGTGTAAAAAGATAGCAAATCCTATGCTTTTCTCTAACAGTACAAATCTTCATCTTGATTTGAATTCAAACATTTTGAGACATTTTAATTGCTTCTACCAAGAATTTGTTTCAAGAGGAAAGACTTAAATGCTGCCTTTAGGGTATAAAAACCAGAAAAATGTTTGCTATGGTACCAACAAATAGCCACTTTTTGTGGTTTAATGGGCAACATAATGTAAATTTACCATGGTATTAATCATTACCTTAGCTTAACAAGAGCATGATACATTAGCAAATTTAACATTACCATGGTGTTATGGGTGATTCATGAAGGCTGAGCCATTATTATAGGCATAAATGCAGATCATTATAATCCAAATGGGAACCTCACTGGGGTGCCATAGCAAAGTAAATTATTCCTTTTGTACAAAAATATAAATCCCAGCTGGTTTTATTGCTCTATCTTAATGTATAAAATGAAACAATTTTTCAGCCGTTTATTGTAATGTTTGTAAATAGAGGTTTTAATAATAAGTTCTCGTGATGGTGTGATTTTAGATTTGAAGGCCGCACATTTATAGTTATTGTTTGTGAGTTCCTCCTGTTAGCGCACTGCACTCAATATCCTCAACTCAAAGATGTTTGATATGGAATTCTTGAGGCTTACCCAAACAAGGAGGCCTACATTATCTAAGGCATTTCACTGGCTAGATGATACATTGTATGTACAACTCCCACAAAATTGAGGATAATGCTACAAGTTTTTGTCTTGAGCAATAATTTGTTTAAGCACAAGCATTTTGCTTGTGTTGGAATAAATGGTTCATTGTGTTATTTAAAACAGGTTTTAACTACCTTCAACTTTTTATTAAATTTCTCCATAGTGCTTTTAATGGACATTATGAACAATCTGTTAAAAAGCCCTCTTGGGTTTCGCTTCTTCGACACCACACACTTTTGCACGTCTAGATGTGTATAAGAGACAGCCTTGTACCAGATTCATGCATAGATG